GTAATGAGGGCAAACTTTGAAAGCAGATGTGTTGGAAGGCACCTCCATTATTCCACTCCTGGTTCAAACATCTGGATTTCCCACAGGCACATCAGAAGAAAGATAGCGTAGCATTTAGTTACACTTCGAAGGTAAAGGTAAAGGTAAAGGCCCTCCCGTTGTTCGTCGATTTGCTCGAGCGGGCCCAGTAACTTCTCCATTGGAGACTTTGTTGTTACTGTGTTTGGCATATCGAATACGTCACGGGGAGCTTGCCAGGCTCTGCCGTTCGGGCGAGATTCTCTCAGTAGCTTGCCAGGCTCTCTGAGAGGGGCGGAGGAATCGAACTCAGGTTGGCCATGTTGGCTGCGTGCAAGGCAAACGCCCTACCGCTGTGCTATAAAAAACCTCTCCCCTAAAGTGGTCCACTAAAGTACAGCAAGGCGAATGAAAGGCTCATTTTAGAACAATTGCCCGCAAATTCAGTGTGGAGTGACAGTATGCCATTTGCCCCCAGAATTCTTAGCTGCTACTAAGCGTGTTCTAGAAAATTCCTTCATCTCATGCTTCATCGCTGATCCGACTGAGCGTCCTCTGTGGTCTACCTCTGTCTTAAATTGGCAGCCAGGGCATCTTCCTGGTATGTGCCCACTTTGGCTGTGGACCTGCTGATTGTCTGCGCTCTGCCTTCCCCAGCAGTGGCGCCTTCATAACCTCTTAGCAAGCAGGCATTTCCAGTTCCCTGTGGGAGACACCTGGCTTCACTCTTTGTCCTTGGGCTCTTTGCCTCCCATACCTGAGACTCTGCAGAGAACACTAGGAAATGAAGGTGCAGCCAGAAGGAGCTGCTCAACTGGAAGCTCCTTTTTGAAATCAGAATAAGTTATCGTTGTTTTGCCTTACGGAAGCTTCCCATCTCTTCTGCTAAGTGCCTGAGTATCTCTGGGGCTGAACTAAAATTCCCATTCCCTTTACTTTAGCAATGGAGATGTTATTGCTTATTTCTGCTCAGGACCGGGGAATTATAAAACTTCTCTCTCCACCTGAAGCTGTTTGCTAAACAAGTTGGCGTATCTTTCAGAACATGGCATCAATTTCCTTTAAAAGACATTTAAACAGAAAACACATTTTAAGACATAAATCTCCCACTGGATTATTTTACTTTTTAAAGGAAACAAAGAGAAAGGGATCATGGCATTCTCAAAAGAGCCTCACTTTTCTCTGTTCACTGGTAAAGAAAGTGAGAGAGAAATGGCTGGGACGTTGGACCCCACTCAAACTGACCTCACCCTTATGCCTGGCTCTGGACCTTCACTTCTCCACCTGTATAATGAGGAGGGTGTCATACTATAGCATGCGCAAAGAGACCAGTCAGGGTAGAAATGACGGCTGCAGCATGATGATAAGAGTTGCGTACACTGTGCCCATCATTTGGAAGAGAGCAAATGTAGCTAGATATTAACATGCCAGGTGGGAGGCCAGCAAAAGGCTCATCATATGCAGGTGGAAAAGCTGGAGTCTTAGAAATGACTCATTAGCTGACTTACCCTGGGCAAGTTATCTCATGACTCCATACTTACCTTCCCTCTTTTCTAGAATGCAGTCAAAGGCGTTGGCCCTTCTATCTCTCAGAACTGTTGTGTGCATTCAACGAAGTGTGTTGTGTAAATCAGAATGTGAGAAGTGCTTACAAGAGCCCGTGGCAGGGGTGGGAGAGGTACCCTAAAAGTATCACTTGCAGGGACTTTTCATCTCTGCCAAGGTCCCCCACAATTTCAACCACCTGTTTACAGCAGCATCTGAGATGATAAAGGATCAGGCATTACTCAAGCAAAACTAGGTATGCAAAGTGGGAGCAGAGATACTTTTTTAGAAGCCACATTTTTAAGATTTTATTTCAAACCAAAAACTTGGGGGCTGCAGTGATAGCACAGCGGGTAGGGCGCTTGCCTTGCACGTGGCCAACCTGGGTTCAATTCCCAGCATCCTGTATGGTCTCCCAAGCACCTCCAGCAATAATTCCTGAGTGCAGAGCCAGGAGTAACCTCTGTGCATCGCTGGGTATGACCCCAAAAGCAAAAACTTAGGCCTAGCCAGGAAACGTCCTTTGTCTGTGCAGCTGGAGAAAGACACGTGCAGAAATGGGAGTTTGCATCGGTGGAAACCATGGAAGAACAGATAGTCCAAGTCAGTAAGAAGTGGACGGAAGGAGTTCAGAGTCTGGAACAGGATTGCCACGTAGCACTTGTTAAATCCTAGCAAGTCAAGATTTAGTGCTTGGAGAAGAATAATCAGCCTTTATGCATTCGTGGAAAACATCCAAATCTTGATTTTCAGAGAGTCTGAGGTTCTCTGGCCTGACTTTGACGCCGAGGCTATATTTTTTCCATGTGTGCAAAAAAAAAAAAAAAAGGCCAGAAGTCGAAATGGATAGCCATTTTTTTTTAAATAAAGAACGTATGCAATGATAACTGGGCACGTAGGCTCTGGTTGGCCTGGGAATTCCTTTGAATTCTGCTTTCTTGTTTCTTTCTGTGGCCCAGAGACATTTCTGGCTGCATTGGGGTATGAAGAGTATATTTGGCCTTGCACATTCTTCTTCCCCGGGAGAGCCATGTTCTGTTTAAAAGGAGCCGGAAAATAGAGACTGTTTTTTCACTAGGGATAAGAATATCCTCCTCAAAGCAGCCAGGGCTCCGGGAGTAACAGGATCCATATGTCGAGCAGGCTGCTAATGCTCAGCATATGGGCACATGGGCAGTGAATGTCCCAGGCAGGAAAGGGCCTGGTGTTCCCCAGTGGAGACCATGTCACCTCGCAGAAGGACCAGGACTTACGTGACAGATGGATCGCACAACTCCTGAGCTTAATACTCCTGCCCGTGCTCCATGTCATGGGGTAACAGACAGGCATACGGAAGGGCCTGGCTGGCCTTTAGGCAGCCTGTAGCCTCCGAAAGGATCCATCGTCCCCACATCCCACAGGTGGTCTCGACTCTACCTCATTGGGTTTCATTAGGGGCAGCAAATAAACGGGTCTGTCTCCGACAGTAAAAATGAAACTTATGAAAAGAATACTTGCTTGGGCACCAGGTAGCCAAGCCCTTACTTGACGTGACCTTTGGGAAATCACTTAACCTCTCTTTGCTCATCTGGAAAGTTGAGGACGTGGAACCTGGTGATGGTTGAGATTCCTTGCAGTCCTCCTTAGGGTAGCATCACCAGTCACTTTAGGGGGAGACCAATAACAAAGCTCCCACATGAGTGATGGTGCACCAAGCTCTGTTTGCTCTGAGAAGGTAGGGGAAACTGAGGGAGAAGACCTTCCAGTGCTCTCAGGAAAGAGCGGGAAACCAAATAAGAGTGAGAGCGAGATAGGATAAAAAGGACAGACAGACAGACACACACACGAAGGGAGGGAGGGAGGGAGGGGGAGGGAGGGAGGGAGGGAGGGAGGGAGCCTGCATTGAGATAGTTCTTCTTCCAGGTCAATCTCAGCATCCGTGCCTCTTATTCTCACAGTGGAGAATTCAACATCCTCTCTGGGTTGGGCTCCTACCCCCACCCTCCTTCTCTGGTTCCTGTCTCAGCCCTGAAAGGTCGTTCAGGGCACATGCTCTGCTCTGGCAACAAACCTTGTTCCATCCCAGGCACCATATTGTCTCCTGAGCATGGAGAAGCTCCAGATGCAGCCATGGAGACCTCGCATGCTACTGGGTGGTCCAGGGAACCTCTGGCACTGCATTCTCAGGCCCCACACTGAGCACCCCTTGGGTGCCCCTGTGCCCACAAACAACCAATTCCTGTCTTCATCAAGCCATCCCGTTTTCTCTCAGCCTCCGATGGGAGATTCTCTGGTCTGCCTTGTCTATTGGTTAGGGAGATTCCCTGGTGTGCCTTGTCTATTGGTTAGGTCCAGCTCTTGTCTATTGGTTATGTCCCCCGGGACACCCCCTCTAAGCTCCCGAAAGCCCTTTGATCTCTCTGTCCTGCAGCGCACAACCAGGGTCCTTCAACTAGGAGTAAACAAGCAGGGACTGAGATGAGTCACCATGGCAACGAGCTCCCCTGCATCTCGGGGAAGAGAAAATGGCTGTTCTGAGGAGGGGCTCCCTGAGTCTCAGTTACCCGCTTCTTGGGTCTAGCCCCTCCTCCGTACTCAGTGCACTGAGCCCAACACCCATGAGTCTTTAGCTATCAGCTGCGCCCCACTTAAGAAGAACGGAGCCAAAGGCCAGTGAATAAAAACACGTCCCTCCCCTCAGCCTATATTCCCGAGGAACGATTATCTGCTCAAAGCAGATCGAGGAACAGCTTGAACACAGGAGTCAGAGATTTGGGGCAACATTTTTTGTGTTACTCGTGAAGTGGAATGATGAAAGTATAAGGAGACTCAAAAAATGCAAAGCATGTAGCTAAGGGGTTCAGGGAATTCCAGGGGCCCCAGGCAGATCTGCACTCCAGAAACCTGTCTGGCTGAGAGGGTGACGATGTTAGGTGCTGTCTCCTCTGGGGGGGGGGGCGGGGAGGAAGATGCACCATTGGTCCTGTGGAGGGGGCTGAGGTGAAGATCCTTTAGGAATCCACTGAGTTCCACAGGACACCGTCTCTGCAGCCATGCATTACCCATGGGTGTGAGACCAGGCCTCCCAGGGCACAGCCATGGCTCACTGGTGACCCATCAGGCTCCTGATTCTATCAGTCCCACTCTTGTCTGAAGCAGAAACATGTGCCTCCTTGAGGGGTGAGAAGCACTTAAAACAGAGGGCACCCCACATCTCCAGGGAGACCTGGCACCAAGGGGACAGTGTTCTGGTTGGACAGGAGATTATCGACCATGCCCACTTCTGGCAGTGGAGGGAGGAGCTGTAGGTCAATGGATGTTGAGATGTCTCCAAACGCTAATAGTCTCTCTTCTCTCTTTCTGAAAGTGAGCGGGGAGATGCAATTTGGGCACAAAAGGTGTGGGTTTGATCCTTGGAAGTTCCAAAGTGTGTTGACCTTGAACTTGGTCTTTTTCAGTTTCTCTGCAGGTGGACATTGTTCCCAGCCAAGGGGAAATCAGCGTTGGAGAGTCCAAGTTCTTCTTGTGTCAAGGCAAGTGTCCTGTGCCCCGCTGCGTGTCAGGAAAGCATACGCCCCAAGACCATCGGGCAGAGCAGAAGTCTGTGGGCTGCATTTGGCGGGCTCTGTGCTCCACACCCTCAGCTCCTGCCATTGCTCTGCAGTCAGGTGGATTCTTTTTTCCTGAGAGCCAGGAAGCTCTACTGCACCTGCTCTTCCTTCCTCAGAGCCACCCCAATATAACAAATTGCATCAGTGGGACTATGCCGAGTGATTAGGGGAAGGTCTAGGGCAAAGTTCCCAAACTTCATTAGCACACTTTAGCCCTCTTCAGGACAAAAAAAAAAAAAAACAGTGCGCATGAGCTGAATCCGAGACTCATTCTGGCACCTCCTCAAAGGCAGACCACCAGCAGGAAAATCCAGGGAGGTCTATAACTTGCCTGAAAGAAAAGCAATGCTGATGTCTCTGCACACTCTGAGGACAGACAACACACAAGATTGTCCACATTGTTCTGGCCCACAGTCCCCAGATCAGAGCCCTAGAGCTCTGGGACTGGTCTGACTCGGTGTCCTGGGTGCTGGTTTGGCAAACAGGCCCTTTCTCCACAGCCCAGGTAATGACCAGGACATGTGCCAAGAATCAAAACTCTTCCAGGCACCAGGGTGCTCTGAACATAACACCCTGCCAGGACAGGATGCTGAGCGCGGTGTTGGCTGGGACATTTCCCATGCCTCTGTTGGCGAGGGGGGCCATTCCAGGCTCTCCTGGTTTCCGTGGGATGAGGGCGCCCCAGACTCGGGTGTCTTCTCTCCAGGTTTGCCTTCATTACAGCAATTCAAATGCTCTCAGATGAAACCGTGGCGCCCACAGCACATCTTGCAAATAGTGATATTTATTGAAAACATGATGGGCCCTGAAAGGAAGCCGGCTTTATTTCCATGCTAAGCATCTGTGTGGGGTTGGGTGATCAGGCAAGGGCACCGTGCCAAGAAGCTGGGGACACCAACGGCCCTTCACGCCTTTCCAACTCTGCATCTGACAGCTGAGGGCTGACACCCACCCCTGCTGGGTGCCAGGGGTCACTGGGTGGCAAGTGTGATCACCTTCTTTGAAGAATTTTCAGAGAAGGGTAGTCTTTCTGAGGCAAGGTGCTAAACCTGGGTAGGTGTGTAAACAATGGGTAGAGGCTGGAAGCTGTGGTTGCTAGCTACAGTTCTGCACTAGCTGTGTCTCATCCTTCAGACAGGAGACCAGCATAAAGCCCTAGAAAACAAATGACCAGCTAAGCCCTTAGCTCAGATCGTAAGTAAATGAGCTCCCTTAACCTCCTACTCTGGAATGCTTAAAGCTCCTAGTTTAGTGTGTGGTACCCAGTAAGTCCTCTGCAAATATTTCTTCCCTTCATTTACTCGGGGTAGGGCCGCTATGAGAAATACTAGCCCTAGTGGTTGGTCAAGTTCTTCCCAAGTACTATCACTGGGATTAGGCACCTTGGCCTTCGACCAGAGTCAGAGCACTTGGTCCTTACCAGTTCTCCACCGTGATCAAGCTCCAAGCTTCCTTGCACTGTAGTTTTCACTGGATTCCCACTGTCCCTGTGGAAGGGTTTTTGTTTTTTTTCAACTTCAGTGGTTTGAAATTAATCTCTTTCTCTTCAGTGGCGGGAGACGCCAAAGACAAAGACATCTCCTGGTTCTCTCCCAATGGAGAAAAGCTCACCCCAAATCAGCAGCGGATCTCGGTGGTGTGGAATGATGACTCTTCGTCCACGCTCACCATCTACAATGCCAACATTGACGACGCCGGCATTTACAAGTGTGTGGTCACTGGCGAGGACGGCACTGAGTCAGAGGCCACAGTCAATGTGAAGATTTTCCGTAAGCCCCTCTTTCTTCTCTTGCATCCTGGTGGTGCGCTATGCTAGTAGAGGGACCAGCTGGGAACTTGATGAGTCTCCTCTCCACTTTCCTCTCCCTAAACCTGGAAATGGAGCACAGAGTTCTAGCATATTCTTAAAGGCTCCTTGGCCAAATCAGAGCTAAGGACCTAGGTTGACGCAGGACATAGCCACCTCCCATGGGCACCTTCCTCTGTTCTTTAAATTCAGGTGACACCTGTCGCAGAGCAGAGGGTTATTATGTATCCCCTCTTCCCTTCCCCAAGTGATGACTGTTAATTCGGGTTTTCCCTTATCTCACTCTCCCTTATGGGGAATGGGGCCAGTGGCTCCGTGGGGTGGGGAGGTTTTATCTGAACATTCATTCCGTGCCACTCAGAGCAGGCAGTCACCAAAACCCAATCTATAGGTGGCATCTCATTATCTTATCACCTTGTGCCATATGGCACATATGTGCCATTGGCCAGGGTCATGGCAGGTGACAGCTAATGGAACCATATTGATTGCCATGGTATTTATTACCTGTAATCCTGCTTTCCCTCTATCATGTTTTTGAGAATCGTCTCTGAGGTAGGAAGATTGGGTTGGGATATCAGGCAGTAGGAGACAGAAATGATCCATGTCTCCTGCTAATCATCGAAGAGTAAGAACCAGTGTTGCATTTCATTGGCACCATTCTCCATAGCAGGGAACCCTTGATGCAGACACTCCTTGCTCCCCATAGACATCTTTTTGCACAAAGCATCATCAATGGAGCATTCAGAGAAGAGATTTTGATTGCCAGACATCAGCAACATAATCCTCCTTTTGGGTTGGCTGCTCTGCCTGTCATTTTTAGCCAAGTCCAGGGTAGGAAACCCTTTGACACCAGCCTATATACAGAGGGACAGTTGCCTAAGACTCAAGCCCAAGCAGGATGGCTCCAGTGAAACGGAATCTTGGTGGGAGATTTTCCCTTTTTTCCCTCACTCGCCTCTTGCTCATTTTCCAGAGAAGCTCATGTTCAAGAACGCGCCAACCCCACAGGAGTTCCGGGAGGGAGAAGACGCTGTGATTGTGTGTGATGTGGTCAGCTCCCTGCCCCCAACCATTATCTGGAAGCACAAAGGCCGAGATGTCATTCTGAAAAAAGATGGTGAGACCTGAATTCCCTGGCCACAGAATTCCCTTGGGTGTTCACCTCTGAAAGCCTTTGAGGCTTTCCAGCCCAAGCTCAGACCCAATTGTCTTAGAGCCAAAGGCCAGGGCTGTCCTGCCCCTCCCTGGGGTTCTGGCTGAAGCCTGTCTGTTCAGGCAACTGACTTATACTCCAAAAGAAAAGGAAAATTTCCAGCAGATTTTTGCTCTTGGCTATCTGCCCAAACCAGGAACACATTTTCTCATTTCAGCTTAAAGCTTCAGCCACATAAGACTGAGGCTAGGGCAAAGGGAGGCTGGTGACCAGCCTTCAGATTCTAGAGCTCACTTACTCACCATGGATCACCCTGTCTCTTCCAGTTCGATTCATAGTCCTGTCCAACAACTACCTGCAGATCCGGGGCATCAAGAAAACAGACGAGGGCACCTACCGCTGTGAGGGCAGGATCCTGGCAAGGGGGGAGATCAACTTCAAGGACATTCAGGTCATTGTGAATGGTGAGATCTGTTCTTCCCACTCTCCACTGCTCTACCCTTGGTCTCCCGCTATGGTGCTCTTGAATTCTCTTTGGTCCATGTTAAAACCCTGTACTGACTCACCCAGCCAGCTCTGCTGAATTCTCCCTGGTCCCCCATTATCGTAGTCTCTGGTTTGCTGATTTTTAAATACAAGTGTCTGGGTTTCTCTCAGTTAGGGGGATTTTCACTGCTGCTCTTGTATGTCTTTCAATGGCTTGAAGCAATTTCCCCAGGCTTTCTAGTGAATTCTGTTTCATCCTTCATTGTCCTTGATATTACCATAATTGTGACGTGAGTCCCCTGGTTCAATGTTCAAAGAAAATTTTATAATCAATTCAGGCCTCAGAATCATCAGAATCTTGGTCTATGGGCTTATTAATCTTAATTTGCAGTGTCAAATAAACATACCCATGGAATCGATCTGGCATTTACAAGATGTTTACAGGAAATTATGTCAGTACTAAGAAAATAAGTAAATCATGGTTGAATTATTTTGGCTGTTGGTATGTATTTTTTGTCAAGTTCTCCCCCCTCGGATCCTTTCGACAAAAACATTTTGTGTGAAGGGTTGTGATGACAATCCCAGATAAATGTCACTCTTAGATGAGTCAAATTGGCATTAACCATATGGCCCCCAGGAGAAGGTATTTCCAGATTTTTCTAGTATAATGGGTATCTTTTATACAACCAGCTTCACAAGCCTTGGTAATTAGAAATGTAATATGCATTGATCAATAAAGTATATAATGATAAACAGCTACTCTATAGTGCAGGGGGATGAGGCGGGAAACAGGGTGCTGGAGACACTGGGACAATGGGGGAGGGGAGCAGACACCCAGGGGAGAGTGTGGTGCTGGACTGTTTTATGCTTGAAACTGTGCCATTAACAGTATTATAAACCACAGTGCCTAGAATAGAATAAAATCAAATTTTAAAATAGATGTGGGCTGGAGCTGAAGACATAGTACAGCAGGTAAGGCACTTGCCTTGCACACTGCCAATCAGGATTCAATCCCCAGCATCCTATATGGTCACCCAAGCACTGCCAGGAGGAATTCCTGAGCATGAACGCAAAACAAACAATAAATAAACTGGATGACATTTTGAAATGAATGAAGCATTTCTATAGATTTCCAAGCTATAGGATTAAAAACCCATCACTGTCACTGTATCACTGTCATCCCATTGTTCATCAATTTACTCGAGCGGGCACCAGTAACGTCTCCATTATTCCCAGGCCTGAGATTTTAGCAGCCTCTCCTTACTAATCTTTCCCAATGATTGGAGGCACTTTCAGGGTCAGGGGAATGAGACCTGTTATAGTTACTGGTTTTGGCATATCGAATACACCACAGGGAGCTTTCCAGGCTTTGCCTGTGCAGGCGGGATACTCTTAGGAGCTTGCTATATATATATGACTTGTCATATATATGACTCTCAGATATATATATTTCTTTCTATGATTTGTTAAAAACGGATATTATCAATTATTCACATATTGTAGAACTTAAGAATGCATGTTTGTGGGTGAATTACTTGGAAGTTTGCAGTAATTCTTTCAGCACAGTGGTTTTCAACTGTGCACATCATGGACCAGTGCACATCCCTGAGCATAAATGCCATTGAAAAGCACTTACCTAGCACACACACAACTGGAAATCTCTCATCCAAATTCTTGACCCCCAAGTCAGGATGCTCTGATGTGAATTACCCCGGAAGTGCCTCTCCTCCAGCCTGTGGGTTTCTAAGTTTCCTCCATCCTCTTGACCTTTCTTCTCTCCTTCAGTGCCTCCCACGGTCCAGGCCAGACAGAGCATAGTGAATGCCACCGCCAACCTGGGCCAGTCCGTCACCCTGGTGTGTGATGCTGAAGGCTTCCCAGAGCCCACCATGAGTTGGACCAAGTAAGAAACTGGCTCCCCTCTCATCTCAGACCAGTAGGGACCTGTGTTCTGCCGCCAGCACAATAGAATGGACATGGGCTGTCGGGAACCATCAGCTCCAATTGCAAATGGTTTCTCCTCTGTAAAGTTTCCTTGCTTCATTATCACTTTGTGGGATCAGAACCAGAGAGCGTGGCCTTGGCGGGCCCTCTTTTAAGTACTTGTGAGAGCAGTGTATCCATTTTGGACAGATCAGTGGTTTGGGTCAAGCAGTATCAGGTGGATGCGGATGTAAAACTTGGCATCTCTATTTCCTGAACTCACCTTGCATTTTATGAAGATGAACCAGAGATATGTTTTGCTCTGAAGTCAAAAAAAAGTCACAGTTCTTTACATTTCTGCACCCTTTAGGGATGGGGAACAGATAGAGGATGAGGAAGACGAGAAGTACATTTTCAGCGATGACAGTTCTGAGCTGACCATCAGGAAGGTGGATAAGAATGACGAGGCTGAGTATGTCTGCATTGCCGAGAACAAAGCTGGAGAGCAGGATGCGTCCATCCACCTCAAAGTCTTCGGTAAAGACAGTGGGGATCCAAATCATTGCCTGCCTCCACCTTCCCTTTCCTTTTCTTCCTTCCCTTTACACTCCATCAACACAAACCTGTCTGCTCTACCTCAGAATCTATCCCAGATGTAACAAGTTCCAATAGCATCTATCCAGCCTGAACCACCCTTTCCTCCCCAGGGAACAAGACACCCCTCCTCGCTGGTCTCCAGCCTCTTCCCCACAAGTGCCTCTCCCCTGTTTAAGCCCCTCACTAGCTTCCTAGTGCAACTAGAATACAATCCTAAGGCTCTCTGCAGACCACACCTCAGATGATGCCACCTGCCTTCCTTCATGGCTTCGTCTTCCTCCCACATGACTCCCTACTCAACACTGTGCAATGTCTCTCTGCCCTGTAGAATCGCCAGACTTGCTGCACATCCCCAGACAATCCCCCTTCATATTTTCCCTGTTTGGAGCATTATTCCTCCCAGAGCAGCTCCGAGCTGCCTTTTTCTCATCTACCTTCTCAACCCAACTTCTCACGGAGTGGTTCCCGCCTGACTCAGGCAAGCGCAGCCTCTCAAACACCTTCGGCCGCCCTCCCACCCACCACCCCCCACGCCCCACTCCCACTAGCCTTCCAGGCTTACTGTGACAGCCTCACTGAGCTTCTCTGAATCCTACCTGATCGCGTGTGTCTCTTTGTTTCGGGGGGAGGGAGGGGGTTGTAAGCATGTGCACTCTGAGATCGCAAGGATTTCTCACACGGCGTTTTCTGGCTCAGACTTTGGATCCTCCCAATGCACAACAGGCCCTTGGTAAATATTTGTAACGGGCTGGCTGATTGTCTCTTATCTCCCTGTGCTTCTTTTTCTGGTCTGCGTGCCACAATACCGTGGAAGTCACAAAAATAGTTCCCACATCTCTACCCATGTCGTCTTTATAAATTCAGTTAACTTACATCCATTTAGAACTGAAATGCATTTCAACCTGACCTTGTAAAAGCATTCATGGCAAAAAAAAAAAAAAACTTTAGTCTAGTGACTCTCGGCATCTCTCTGTTCGCCTTTTTGAAAGAGCACACATAAGCTGTCCTCTTTGAATGGTGCTAGACAGGAAACAGGTGGGACAACCCCAAGCATGAGGCTCTCAGGCTGGTATAGATGCACCTGGGAACTGTGTTTGGGACCAGCTTGTTTAGCCTGGTCAGGAGAAGGGATCTAACTGCAAACGTGACTTTTGAAGGTCAAACACTGTTATGCAGACAGACCCTGGAATCACAGAGAAAGCCTCTAAATTTATTAAGGATCCCTGGGTTTTGAGCCAGGTTATTGAACGGCAAAGCCAAAGTTCCTTATAATGTCTTCCCTAATTCAGATTGGTCTTTCCCATCACTGTGATTTCAGGCTTTTCCATTTTACAAAGAAAGAAAATTTTATGTATTCCCTTATTTAATGGATATTTATTGAGCACTGGTATTGCTAGACCTCTAGAGGAGCTACAGAGATGAGGAAGATACAGTCCACTGGGGCCAGAGAGATAGTACACACAGCGGGTGAAGTGCACCCGATGTGGGTTGTGTACACTTGTGTACACTGGGTTGGAGATCCAACACCACATAGCTCCTCTGAGCCCACCAGGAGCCATCACTGAGCATAGAGCTAGGAGTAAGCCCTGAGCATGTCAGATGTGGCCCCCACCCTAAAACAGAGATATGGGCCCTTGATGCTGAGCGAGCAGCAGAAAAAATAAACATATAAACACATACATTATAATAGATATTGTCATTATCAACAATATATGAGTACCTGGCATGGGCCCAGCCATTGCTGAGGTTACAGAGATGAAATAACGTGCTGAGTCCTCATCAGGGGGTTCAGAGGCTAATGTTGGGTGATGCTGAACTTTTTAATGACAGCGCATTATAAAGACACATTATCATAGCAATCTACATGGTGTTTTATAGGAAGTGATGATCTCTGATCCCGTGTGATGGAAACTAGAGAAGTCTTTCAAACAGTGCTCATTTTTCACACGTAGGAAGAAGAGGGATGAGTATTTTGGGGTTCATTTGCCCAGGACCAGAAGCATGTCTAGCATACCTAGTGGACAGAGATTCAAGTCTGTTTTACTCAAAGGTATATCCCTGGCATCTAGAGCAGTTTCTGACGTGAAATAGATGCCAGTGTTTGGACAAATGAAGAAATAGCCATTCATTTTATGTGAATGATGCTTCATGTATGTGTCATAGAGATGTTCTTGGAAACATTTAATTGTCTCTTATCTTTAGGGAATTCTTTTAGCACTCAACCTTTTTGAATAACAGTAATATTGCCCTCCAGGAAGTGAGCATTGTTCACTGCTGGGCACCATGTGATGTGTTCTCCATAAACTAGCTCTCTTAATCTGCAGCACAGTCCTATGAGGGAGACTTCATTTTGCTCCCCATTTTGCAAATGAGAAAACTGATCACAGAGTTAGGCACTGACCCCAGGATTCAAACCCTTGCAGTTGGCTTTTAAGTTCATTCCCTGAGCTATCGCTGGGAGTTCATTCTCCATGAAATCCAATTTGATACACAGTGTATGCACATTTCATATGCATGACCAGTTATACTGAAATTAGTGTTTGCTGCCTTGGTGCTGTGAACGATGAAGTTGCCCCGGAAATGCACTCAGATCTGTCTTGGTTGCAAGAACAGATCTTGAGTCCTCTGCTAGGCCTCTCAAGGGGCAGTAACTGCCCCTGGAATGAGACGTACCTGGTCTCCTGCTATACACATAGTAGACACAGCCAAAGTAAGAAGCTCTAGTGGCAGGTGGGGTAGAATTTATCTTTATAATGACCACGGTCCTCCCTCAATACACTGCCTGTCCTGCATCACATACAACAACACAAACATGCCTGCGCATATGCATAGACTCATAAACATACACACGCACACTGCATACTGCACCACTCCATTCCACTCCCAGTTTTTTTACCAAGTCTGCCACTGAGAGAATATATGGGAGTCCAGTAGAGTAGAGAAAAGTAGTCGGACTCCTGCAGAGACAGGTGAGAAAAGCATCGCGTCATCAAGACTATGTCTAAGCCAGCCCCCAGTCCAGAATGAAAATCCTCCTATGCCGTGTCCCAAAGAGTGTTTGCACAGCCTCCTAGAGGTAGCCTGGAATTCATATCTGGTCTCTGGTCACAGCCTCCTCGAGGTAGCCTGGAATCATATCCGGTCTCCGGTCACTCTCCTATTCACCTTCTGAACTTCCTCTCTCTGATTAGTATAGAAGGTTGTTCCTCAGGCGAGACAATCCCCTCTCCTTCCCCTTCTGCTCTGCATTGGAAACCAGCACCTTCCCCATACATTGGAGTCTGTAGCACGGAGGCAAAAGAAGAAAGAGACCTGTAGCTTAAATGGTACAGATGAGCTCAGAGCTAGCATGGTTTCCAGAAGGGATAGCAATTAGTATATGAGGGACTTATTCTAAATTAGGGACAGTGGTAATTACACTTGACATCATTTTGTCCAAAGAAAGAGACATGTTCTAACATGCATTGCCCTAGTTATCAGCTAGAAAGCTCTTATTATGAAGTCAGTGCCTCCCCCCTTTAAATTTGGCAATGTCTTTCCATTGCTCTTATCCCAATGGGCCCTTCTGAAGAAGTAGTTTTGTCTCTGCTGACTTGTATTAGGCTCCTATAAATGCTCTTGAGGTCTCCTGCTGCTGTGGGCTGACGCCTGTTCTCCTGTGAGCAGCTCTGCTTAGCTCACCCCTTCGATCCAAATCTGCCTTGATGAGTTCCAGCAGAGGACATACGGGGTACAGGAGCTTGGATTATGGTGAGAATGGACAAATCTGGCCTCCAGTTGGCAGGGTGCAATAGAAGAGATAGGGCTTGGAAAAAATACAGAGTGCTGTGCCCACAGGTGATGGGTCCCCAGGGCAAGGTGCCATGGAACATTTGAGGCTTGACATCCCCTGGCAGCAGGTGGAGAGCAGAGCAAGCAAACAAAGCCAAGGGCATACGACTAAAGTTAATTAAGATGACAAAAGCACCATGCAGAGGTCAAACTTGGAGGGATTCTGCTAGACGCGGGTGTGCAGAGGAAAATGTCCCTGAGTCCTTCTGTTTGTCTCAGTATAATTATTTGGGGCAACCTTTTCACTCACAAGAGTGCCTGTATTTGAGACTGAAGCAATAGTATAGCGGGGAGGGTTTTGCCTTACATGTGGCTAGCCCAAATTCAATCCCCAGCACTGTATACGATCCCCCAACCTACACCAGAAGTGATCCCTGAGTGCAGAGCCAGGATTAAGCTCTGATCACCTCTGGGTGTGACCCCCCCAAAACTCCAGGCTATTACTATCCTATATGCAAGATGGCATTCTGAGCTGTCAGTTATTGCCAATGGGAGTCTTACTTTTCAGGGTACAGAGGGTGGTCCCCAGTGAGAAGCTGTGCTTCCATCTGTGGCCCTCTGCAGACCTTACAAAGCTAACCTCTGTTGATAAGACCTTTCAGAAAGAATATGACTTGGATGAACAGTGTGCCCTTGGAGACTATCTGGAAATGCCATCACAGAGCCCAAATAGGAACCGTGCTAATATCACACTTTGTCTTCTGCCAGCCTTTCACTGCCAGGACAGAGTGCCTGTGTCCACAGAAGGTCATCCAGGACTGTCTAGATCACGGCATTGGATAGGTTTTCAGGCCAGAAATTCCATCTTCCTCCACTGACCTCCAGATGCCCCCCAGTAGCAGTTCTACTTAATAAACTCAGTTCTGCTGACTTTGTGAATTCAACTTTCCATCTGTGGGGTTGGTTTTTGTTTGTTTGGTTTTGGGAGATTTTTTTGGGGGGAGGTTGTATTTTGGACCATAACCAGTGGTGTTTAGGGCTTATTTCTGGCAAAACTCAGGGGACTATATAGGGGGCTAAGGATCAAACCTGGGTGAGCCTCATGAAAAGCAAGCACACTACCTGCTGCAATCTCTCCAGCCCTCCATCTTTATTTCTTAACAGGCTAGAGATTTCATTGTCACTTTAGCTCTCAAAAACCTCCTACTCGGGGCTAGAGAGATAGCACAGCGGGTAGGGCGTTTGCTTTTGCACGTGGCCGACCCGGGTTCGATTCCCAGCATCCCATATGGTCCCCTGAGCACCGCCAGGAGTAACTCCTGAGTGCAGAGCCAGGAGTAAGCCCTGTGTATCGCCGGGTGTGACCCAAAAAAGCAAAAAATAAATAAATAAATAAATAAATAAAAAATAAAAAAAAAACCTCCTACTCGAGGCTGGAGTGATAGTACAGCGGGTAGGGCATTTGCCTTGCATGCAGCCGACTCAGGTTCAATTCCCAGCATCCCATATGGTCCCCCAAACACCGCCAGGAGTAATTCCTGAGTGCAAAGCCAGGAGTAACCCCTGTGCACTGCCGGGTGTGACCCAAAAAGAAAAAAAAATCCTCCTATTCAACAGCACTTAATGCTGATTCCGTCCCATCTGAATTGGAACCTCCTAGAAAAGTCCATTTTCAAGATAGGCACTAGAGGGGTCTGGAGAGATGCCACAGCAGATAGGGCATGTGCCTTGCATGTTATGTGACTGAAGCAGATTTTATTCCAGGCATGCTCTATGGTCTCCTGAGCACCACCAGAGTAATTCCTGAGTGTAGAGCCAGGAGCGACCCCATAGTATTGCCAGTTGTGACCCAAAAGCAAACAAACAAACAAGCAAAGATTAGCAGTAGACCTTCTGTGGGAAAACCTCACTCAGCTGAACCCTGTTGGTTCACATTTGTGTTCATTGGCACTTTGGATTGCCATGTGCTGATGGCTAGCCAGCAAGGCAGGATTTGCTAAGCAGACGCAGAACAGAATAACTTTAGGGAAATATCTGCATGACATGGATAATTTTATATTGAAACAGGTATTTGCAATATAAAAACACCTCGTTCTTATCATTGCGAATTTCTGCTTATTAAAGCAGAATCAAGGATCTGAAGTTGAGAATAGATGTGGGCAGTAGTTTGTTAGCCTATTTGGGGTTACTGTCTGAATTTGAATATAAAGAAAATGCAGTTCTTTTAAAAATAATCCATAATTCTGATTTATTTATTTCTGCTTGTTTTTCAAGCCCCGTCTTTTCCTCCATCAGTGAGATAAGTGACATTTGTGCAGTGTTATCTTTTCCCTTCTATGGAAGGTTTAGCAATTTCAAAGTATAATTGTTTTAAATTGGGAAAATTCAATTTTCTCTAATGTTTTAACATTTAGCTCAGCTTTTGAATGCTTGCATTTTCTTGCATTACCCAAAACATTTGGAAAATGAACTCATCACAGCTCATCTCCCTCCCGTCCCCGGCCCACTCCACAGCCCCCAGTGAGCTCCTCACCACATTTCCTGACTTGAGTTAATGCCCACACAACTCTCCTAGACATGAAGCAGCCCAGAGTCATTTGGGCTCCTTCCCTTTCCTTCTTTGGAGTCCCACCATGCCCACCTCCCTCTCTTCGTGGACCACTTTCTATGAACATTTCCTTTCAGCATTTCCTTGGAAACTGCCTTTGCTTCTGTGCTATTTGACAACCTCATTTGGGACCACGTTACATCACTGCCAGAGCTTCCAGATTGCCTTTAAACCTCAAGGCTTTCTCCATTCTAAATCATCTTGAATTTTTCCTGATTAACCTTCTTGAAAGACAAATGATGGTTTTCGGAGCTCTGATCAGACACTGTCAGCGGGATAATGCTCAGACAAATGCCTGGACCAGGCCAGAAGATTGTCTGTGCTGCGCACACCCCATCTTCCTCTCTTCAAGGCACAGCACAGCTCAGGCCACATTCATTATTTTGTTGTTTTGGTTTTGGGGTGTCTTTTGAGTAGTTTGACCACACCTGGCAGTACTTAAGGCTTACTCCTGGCTCTGCACTCAAGGATCATTCTTGACAATGCTCGGGGATCATATACGATATTGGGGGATGGAACTCGGATCAGCTGTGGGCAAGCATCCTACCTTCTATACTATCCCTCCATACCCACCTCACACGTATTCATCTTTTACAAATGGTTGCTTTTATATAAATAATGTCCTACACTTGGAATGACTCCATCTCTGCCCTTAATCTTCACCTACCAAAAAGTTCATAGCCCGGCCCCAAAGCTGCCTCCCCCTAAAAGCCCAGTCAGGGAGCCTTTGATTTTTCTCTCTGCCGTCTGCAGATATTACCTTGGCACTGTCATTTTACATGATCTATGTCCTACTATCATTATGGTGTTGTCCTATGCCTTTGATTGGAAGATTCTGTTGGAATGCCTTCCTTGGGGGAGAGGGACGTGGGGGAAGGCAGATCTGCTCTTGGTCTCCCACAGCACCAAGAATAAGGCCTTCTATGAAACAAGCAGATGGCCTTTGCTGAATGGGTATATCACTGTATTACTGTCATCCCGTTGTCCATGCATTTACTTGAGCAGGCAACTCGAGTAGATGGATTCGTTCAGCTCTGAGATTTTAGAAGCCTCTCCTTACTCGTCTTTCCCAATGCTGCCATATTGGAGGCTCTTTCAGGGTCAGGGGAATGAGACCTGTTATTGTTACTGTTTTGGGCATATTGAATATGCCACGGGGAGCGTGCTACACTCTGCCGTGCAAATGGGTATATATTCTAGCTTAAACCCAGAGAACTAAGGGGGGAAAAAAAATCAAATTTAACTCATAGAATTGTTTTGTCTTTTCAGCAAAACCCAAAATTACATATGTAGAAAACCAGACGGCCATGGAACTGGAGGAACAGGTCACGCTGACTTGTGAGGCCTCAGGAGACCCCATTCCCTCCATCACCTGGAGAACATCCACCCGAAACATCAGCAGCGAAGAAAAGGTATAACGTCACCCAAGAGTTCCGGGGCCATGGTATGCAGACTTCAAGCAATTTGAATCTGCCCCATGCCCTGTTCTCTTTGGTGAGCCAGAAAAGACATGGCCCCAGTTTGAATGTGGCCTACCGCCAGTGCACCCCTTGCGATGAAGAAGTTCAATTCCTTGCAAGATTTGCAGAGGTGTGGTATTACGGGCATAATCAAGTTAGCCATTCTGGGGATGAAGGGAAGAGTGAGTTCTAAACCCAGGGTTATGGAGCTGTGAGGAGCACGGAGAAGCCAGGATCCTGGTGCACCAGGAAATACTATCATCATTTCAAAAAGCACCCAAGGAAATGTCTTCCGGAAGTAATAGGGATCAGACCGAGCCTATTAATGCTTTTCCTTGTGTTTTGTATTCTCATGCACTATATGCACAAAAGCTTGGTTGCCTTTGTGTCTGCTTGTATTATTGGTCACATTTGAATATCATTTTGTTATCAAGGCAAAAATAATTAGCAGTTTCTAGATGATGATGATGACACACTGAGTTCTGTAATTTTCCCCTGCAATTCAAAGAATACTGTAGGAACTTTCCTGACAAATTAAAATCCCTAGAAAGAGTTTGCTCTAAAACACAAAGATTTAGGTGCCAGAGATAGCACAGAAGTTAAGGCACTGACCTTGTACTCTCCTGACCCCAGTCTGATCCCTGGCACCACATATGGTCCCCCAAGCACCACTAAGAATGATTCCTTAAAGTAGAATCAGGAGTTAGTCCTGAGCACCACCAGGTGTGACTCTAAAGGAAAATAATAATAAAACAGAAAAGTAAATAAAAATAGAGAAGACATGGATTTATAGGCTACTGGGAAGCTGTCTTTATTACTGACAACTTATAAAACTTGTGGTGACCCCGCATTATGTAGCCCTTTAGAGTTGAGTGTAAGAAGAGAAAGAGACTTGGTTGTAAAGCAGCTTGCACCCTCTTAGGGCATATCTCCGACCTCATCTCATATATCCTGTAGTAATGGGCTTCATTTTGGTCAGCCAAAGCTTTGTCACTTATTAAGGAGTAATGGCCTTAGCCTTAAAAAACATTTATAACGGATTGCTTATTGACCGGGATGTCAAAAATGATAGATCTCCTCTCTTCCCTCTGCCTGAAGAAAACCCCGAGAGAGGGTGAACTGAGAACCCAAAGTGGATAGTATGATATATACCAGAGCCAAATTTGGAATTCACATTTGAGGGACTTGGATCTGTCTCACTCAAAAAAAAATTTTATATATATACATATATATATATATATATATATAGAGAGAGAGAGAGAGAGAGAGAAGAAGAAGAAGAAGAAAAGGAAAGGAAAGGAAAGAAAAGCTAACCAAAAGGAAGAAAATGTTGCTGTTCAAACCCCTCCCAAGTCCTGCTTTTTTTTTCAAGTTTTACCCCCAGAGTCAAACTTAAAATTAAAAATTCAACTTAACAAAAACTCAATTGAGGAACTGCTAAGTATTTTTGAAACTTTCATACACTGCTTCGGTATTGTGGAAACCAACTGGATTAGGAAATGTGGTATTTACTTAGATATTTTCTTTAATAGCAATGGAGTTAAATCCTCCGCATAGATTTTAGATTCCATTGTGTCTTCCATGGATTGAATGTCCATTTCAGGGCTTAAGCCACAGGACCGCATGGCAGATCTTTCTACATCAGGCTGGAGAGTAGATTTGTCCACAATGGCCTGGCGAATATCTTTGACCTACAGCAAAGGACAGAAATAATATCTACCTCAAATGAATGATGCTTTTCAATTCTCTATCTTTTTTAACAGCCAAGATAGACCAGAAGTGTTATAAAGATTTCTGTCCACCTTAAATTCTTTAATAGGTGGGAACTGAGGCTTAGACCTGTGAATTCATTTTTAGAGAATGAGAATAAATAACCAGGCATAAATTCATACTCATACTTACTAAATATGGAGAACCAAGAACTGCTAGAAATTGTCTGAAGCCAGGTAGACCTAATTCACTTTATATGTGATTTAGTTCTCAGAATAGATCATTTGTGTCATTTGCAATCATTATTTACTAAGTCCAGCCATTTAGCTTGGTTTGAGGTTTGGGTTTTGTTTTTGTTTAGTTTGGTTTGGTTATTTTGTTTTATTTTTTAATATGGACGACCCTCAAAGTTACTTGAACTGACATTTCTGGAACATGAGTCAGTCAGTATTAGAACACTTCCCCCATCTTCAACCCAGCCAGTCATGTGACATCAGATTTACATATTTGCTGAAAGGAAGCCCTGAACAAGAAAAGTGCTCTTAGTATGAAGTATACATTGCAATCCAAGAGACATGATGTTCAGCTTATGCCGTCATTATTAATAATGATGCTGAGATACCTATTTGTGGTCCCGTTGAGTTCCAGATCATAACGTTCACTTCTACTTTGGAAGCTGCCCCTCAGGCTCTCCTCCGTCTGAGTCTGTGTTATCTAGAGCAAGGAATTGTTGAGGTTATCAGAGTCACTGAATTGCAAGAACGCAAGAAAATCCCTTCCTCGTTCAAATCAGGGCGATGTGCTAGAGAGAGAATAGACAGTTGTACCTCACCTGGAAGGTAAAGAGGCCTCCTAGGAATTAGACCTCGTGAGACACCAGGATCATTGAAGTCTGGGAGAAAGAAACCCCAGAAAGTCTCTTAGGCCTGTGTGTGGGTGGTCCTTGCAGACCCATTGACAGCCCTGATGAGGCACCCTCCCCCTCTTTTCCTTCTCCATCCTCCTCCTCCCCCTCCGCCCTCCCCGTCTTGCCTTCACAGGCAAGACGTTGCTCTGAGTGCCGAGTGCCGTAGTGCAGGCACAGCTGCTCTTGCCCATTAGCATTTTCCTCCTATTGAACTTGTGGTCAGTTAAAAATGCTCAGGCCCTATTCTTTTTTATTTTTCAATTCACATATCCCTTGTTCTGTTCCTATGCCATTCGTTGCTTAGCCGATCATGCAGAATCTTTATATTCATTTTTGTTAGAATTTGTGCTTTTCTTGTGACAGCCCAGTGTTTTCCGACGGGGTCACGATGGCAGTTTGGGAAGTTGTTTCCTTCTCTGAGACTGTCCTATACATTGCAAAATACATGAGTCCCCCTTCCACCTCAATGCCAGTAGCCACCACTGATCATTGTGATGGTAAAAAATACCACCTGTACAAGCACTCCCTGGCTTGAGAATGACATTTTTGGTTCATCCATCTTTGTAACCCATCAGAACTAACTTTTATCAGAAATGCCCTTATTTGAACTTGCTACACCCCTCCACCTTCATGTTTGTATGTTGAAGGCATTGAGATCTAGAAGTCAGTGGTACTCAGCCCTACACATCAGATCCAGTAGCCCTCCCCCTAGAATTTACATTAGCTGTTGCTTCCAATGTTAGATGGACTCTTGTAATATCTCTGTACAAGTCATGGTTACAATGTTGACCGGCAAAGGGACAAGGCAAAGCACTGAGTCCTGGGAAGGCCACAACTGCTTCCCTCTGGGTCCTTGGATCAGAAGGTAGGGCACCTCATGCTATTGGGCTCCCATGATTTGATGCCAAGGGAGGCACAATGATTCTCTTAATTAAGTTAGTTACAAGATAAGCAGACTAACATGCCACTGGTGGCTCACACTTGGGTATGGCTTGAGGATTGTATCAACCTGTTAAAGCAACTTGGTCTTTTGTTTCACTGTGTGGTTGAGTCTAGTCTTATGCTCTTAAGAAGGTAAAGAAAGACTTTTAACTAGATAGATAGATAGGTAGATAGAGAGATGTGCAGATATATAGTGGCTTTTTCATGGAATCCTGGTGTTCTTCATTTTAAAATGAGGAGGAGGGGCTAGGAAGTTAGTTGGTGCTTTCCTTGCTTGAGCTGACCCTGGTTCAATCCCCAGCATCCCATATTGGTTTCCTGTGCCTGCCAGGAGTGATCTCTAAGTGCAGAGCCAGGAATAAGCCCTGAGCACAACCAACTGTGGCCCCAAAACTAAATATAAATAAATAAATAAATAAATAACATTTAAAACCAAAAAAAAATTATCAAAAACCGGTACAGTGAACCTGAATGTCACAGCCCATATTTGATTGTTGTCTGCTGATTTAGTCCAGTCAGTAGTTTCAGATTTATTGTTCTTGTTTTGTTTTGTGATTTTTTGTTTGTTTGTTTGTTTGTTTGTTTGGGGGGACACACACGGCAATGCTCAGGGGTTACTCCTGGCTCTGCACTCAGGAATCACTCCTGATGCACAAGGGAGTTTATGGAACAGCAGGGGTCAAATTGACCCCTGGTTGTTTTAATGGGCTGCTTCAGCAAGTTGAATTGATTTCATTCAACAGCTGATATAGCAGGGCTGAGTTTGGGTCATCAACACCGTTATTGTAAATCATGTGTCTGAAAGCTAATCCATCTCCTAGTGGCCACGGTTAGGTTGACAAATATATCTGAACATCAGAAGGGGTCAGTTTATCAATGTACATGAAGGCATGAAGGTTGTTGTGATACTCCAGATACCAAGAAAGTTGTGCATCCACTTCCTCACTCATCCCACCAAATTCATTTTACATAGTGCTGGGTACTTAAGTGAATGGTGCTAAATCCAGGTGCCATTTACATATTGAGTGAGACCTCTAGATGGTGATTTGCATAATATCGCCCTGGCAGAACGAATCCACTCTCTGCTTATTTGAACATCTCTTTGCCTTTTAAATGACAGGTAGAGAAAGACATTTGAAGCCTTAATGTTTAAGGAGAAGGGCCAAGAGTTGAAATGAGAAAGATTAATAGAAAATATAAAAAGCCTTTCACGACCTTGCAACTTCGGATGCCAGAGTACCCAATAAATATGAGAGACCTTTTAAAATTCTGAATTCTCTGGGAGCTTTTAATCACAAGGCTAGATTCCTGATTCTGTGCCAACCAAGGTGCCCATTTTTAAGCATTTAGAAAGGTGCCTGCAGTGAGCAGTCAGAGGCTAACCTAAGTTCACAATGGGGGCGAGTGTATAATAAGGAATACCTTTTTAAAAATTTTATTTGGCCACATACAATGTGATTAATGATTAGGTTTCAGGCATAAATATCTCAACACCGGTGCCTTCATCAGTGTCCACTTCCCCCCATCAGTGTCCCCTGCTTTCCTCCCACCCTCAGCTCGTCTCTAGGAGAGGCACTTTTTTAAAATAAACTTTGGCACTGTGGCTTCCAATACTGTTGCTGATAAGGTTTCACGCATAATGCTTTTCCACCTTTCAGCATCCCCTCCACCACCTCCTCGCTGAACACTTTCCTCCGCCATATAATAGGGAATACTTTACGGTGAGTATAGGGAAGATCTACTTAAGAAAAAAATCACCAGGAAAACACTTAAGGTAGTCAAACCTGTGACTGTGAAAGGCCCTTGAACTAATGAGTTCATGAGCATTACTAATCATATCCTAATTGATTTTGCAAGCTGTCGATTTGCATATCAGGTTGTTTGAGAGTTGGTCACACCTTCATCAACGTGATCAGGCCCCGGGCATAGACTGTTACTGCATCAGGCACAGTGGTAGGAGGTCAGGCTACTAAGCTACACACGTAACTGGCAGATACTCAAAAAGCCACAAACCACAGTGAGTTGGGAGAAACAGAAGAGGCAGATTGGAAGTAACAAGTCTATATAACATAACTCCTAGGAAAATTTTGATTTATTCAGTCCTGGCATGTGACAGACAAGCTTCTGCGTGATGTGGGGCTGGCAGCCACATTTGATATGTTGGTCCTCTGTCCCTTTGGTCTCTGCATGTTGTCTTGTGTGCACTTTCTTCCTTGCCCCAGCATCACGTGACCCATCTCAACGTTTCTACTCGTATATCTCACCAGCTCCTGGCATTTAGTGGATTCTTACTAAATGTTCGCTAACTCATTTGCATTCCCTAGGGTGCGTTATCCTATCTCTGACAGCTTTTCTATCTTTTTCCCATGTGAACATCAGAGGAAATTGGGCTGTTGATGCCATTTAATAAAAAGAACAGTAAAACTCTGATGGTCTGGATTCCCAGTACAAATACCATCAAACCCGTGGGCTCCCCCGTCCAGAAAAACAAAATGTCTCCATGTAGATAATGAAAACTCTGTGTTCCTGAGTTGGCTCACTTCTTGGTGAATGCCAAGTTCAGAAGGATGGTGCACACTCGAGCCTGAGTACCACCCAGGCATTCCTCTGCCTCTCAGAACTCCCCCCTCCTAGAGCCTTAGCATGGCAGACAGTGGGCGAGTCCTCCACGCTCCCTGACCCACAAACTTCAGGATTCCCAGTTCTCATTCCTAAGAGAACTCTCTCCTCCTCCCTTTATTTCTTCGTGTTTTTGAGATGAACTTTTGATGCTAATAAGATGCATGCAAAGAATTCTAAAATGCATGAGCACAGAATGACGTTAGGATATTTGTGATAGGCGTTCAAGTAAAATCCGAAGGAGGAGACCTGCTCTTAGTATTTCTACATTAAATGATTGGAACTGTTTGTGCCACCAAATATTATACGGACTATTTTGGAACAGGAGCATTCTAACATGCCTTCTGATCTCTGTCCGTATGGTCGCCAAAGATTAGGACAACCTGTGCCTTTGAATTGTACATCTGAATGTGATGTGGGGTGGGGAGGTGGAGGGAAGTCACACACAAGCTAAATCCCAATTTAAATCAGGTAATAAACACACCCTTGAAAGTGGGCCTTGGAAAGCGTTCTGAATTAAAAAGATGCTGCATGTGCACGGAATGCAGTGTGTTACATCGATTCTCTAAAGCAACATGTTGTAAACTTTTACTGCTTTCTTGTTGTGTTTTATATCTTGTTCTCTCCAGGCTTCGTGGACTCGACCAGAGAAGCAAGAGGTATAGCTTACCCAACCTCTAGCCAGTCTTTAGCATTGAAAGCATTGCAGTTTAACTCACCATTACAGTTTAATAACCAGACATGCGAAACTAATTAGTCATTTAGTTAGATTTAAGCATAGGTCAATAGTGCTAGACATTACTTAGCCGTAGCATCATTTTAGGATGAGCAAGCAAGCTGTGTTGGGAGTGGATGAACAAATCCCTATTATTTCCTAAAACTGGATCTTACTCTCTTGCTGGTGCTGGTAAAATCATATCCAGGTAATTTTATTTATAGAAATAAATCGCCCCAATTCCCAGACCAGGCATTTTCAACTCATGAAATTCTTTTGTCTCTCACCTGGTTGATGGGACTTTGGCTCATAAAGGCACAGAGTCAGGGATGTAAAAACCCACTCAGCCCTTTCCTTTCCAGCTCAACTCATCTTGTTGCTCACAGATTTTATAATGAACGGCCTTGGTAAATTATCACATCACATTTCATCTCGAAGCAATGCAAATGACATCTCTCAGTTTTCCCAAATTGCTAAATATACTATGCTACTTTTATAGAGCATTAAATTTATGAGATTTGAACGATTTTACACAAATGGTTCTTTTTTTTTTTAAAGTCCATAGCATTTAGCCTTTGAAATTTCTCTGACTACTTGCTTCGATTTGGGTTATGTGGGACTTAGTTTAAAAACTGAAGCTAAACGTTAATCTTTAGATTTTAATTGCTTCTCCCCTAAGACCCAGCTTATGGCCTGCCATTGTACCCCACCTTCTGCGATTTAGCTGACATAATGAAATAAAGCTCAATATATGTTAGATGAGGTTCAAGGATATGTTCTGTAAGTACATTCTTGAAAAGTACCTTTTGTCTCTGCTCCAGATGGAGCTCTGATGTTATAATACTGTATTTTAATTAGGTAAATCTGTCCTCTTAGTCGTTCAGAAATGATCATCCTTCAGAACACGTAATTCATGTGTTCAGGTCATACTATCAATATTTAATGCTGCTTCATTTGTAAGAGTTGACTGCCTGCCCCCAGGCACTGGCGTTACTTTCCACATGAGCACAGTGCTCTCATCAAGTCTAGGTCATTAGAAGCTTTCTTTGTAGCCTACCTTTCTTCATGTCATAGAGACAATGGTTGAAACACATCCTCTCTGATAGGCTTGCTTCTGTGGCACAGGAATCTCTTGGTGCCATTCCATGCTAGGTGTTTTATTGTCCAAAAGTCATGGACCCATTGAGATCGGGGAAGGGAGGGAAGAAAGGTTAATTATCAGGCACTCTGAGCTGCTACCAGTCTCATTCCATGTGGCCTCGTGCCTCTTCTCCCTGTCATTCTGATTTATACCTAGCTCGAGGAGGAGCTAAGATTTAGCAGGGAGCATTAAGGAGGTGTTAAGAGAATTATTATAAGTGGAAGTAATAGGTTGACTCCCAAGAAAGCAGGCATCTTGCTGGGTTCCAGGAGTATCCTTATCTTGAGTATCTCATTCTGGACGGAATTGACTTTCAAGTGAGTGCCACTCCCGGGCTCAAAAAATTTCTCCTGTTTGTCTCACTCAGAGATGAAGACCAAAAGTCCAGATGAGCCAAAGAGGGTTCGGGGTATGGCCAGTTACATTCTGTAAGCTTGGCAAGTCTCTGCCACTTTTATCTATAAGGAAGGAGACAAAAATGTTTTGATGAGAATAATTACAATTGCCCTTCAGACTTTTATATTTTTGCACAACAGGTTCTTTTTTGCCTTAGTGAGCCTTTTGTGCTTGCTTCTCCACCAGTATCGAGACCATCAGCACAAGTTTTGATCTGGATGACTTCAGTATACTTTTTTGTACTGATGCTGTGTAAACATTTCTGAGGAAGTTAATCCACTCACACTGGAGGGCTAACAGTATATAATCCCATCATGAGGATGGGTGCAAATTAGAAATTCTTAAATAAGGACAGCGTCCTCAGTCTGTTGACAGGAAATGAAAAAGAAAAAAAAAGTTTTTTGACATGGAGAAATTTAGGGAACGATACCAGCTAGTAGACTCTCAGTGCAGTCATTTTTCTTTTTGAGCGTTTTCTCGATTGTTCTGAGGAAAACCTGCTTAAGCCCTGCATTGTGTGCATGAAGGTCCTTCTTCCTCTTACTAATTGACAGGACTTTTTACATCATTTTATGAAACACCTCTTCCTTGTGGAAATATTCTCTTGATTTCTGAAAGAGTCTGATCAGTCCCAAGACAAGTGTTGTCCATGTGACAATGAATCCTAGTCTAGTCACTGTGACTGAGCCCTTAGTTCTCACCGAGATCACCAGAAAGGCCAGGGCTGGACCTTGCATCTTCTGTGCCTTCGTCTTACCAACATGGGGTCAAGAAGGATTGCTGTGCAGGGCAGGTGACCCCCCCCCACCCCCCACCCCGAGACACTTGCCAGAATGGGTCCTCCCTCTTCAGACCTAGAGTTTAGAGTCTACTCTGTGTGACAAGTAAAATTTGCTGAGAGATGTCTGGTCATCATCCCTTCAGCCTCTAATAGAGGGGTCTCCAGACCCACTATCTTCAGCAAACTGAATGTGTCCAGGCTTTCTAACCCCGGGCTCCACCACTGACTATTGTCATCTGTCACTTTTATGTGGCACCTTGTGGGGTTCAGCTTCTCAGCTAGTCAACTTGTAGGAGTCCACTCAGAGCCGAGAGCCCCAGGCATCTGAGGCGCTCATGGCAGCAAACAGGAGGGCTGGGCTGGGCACTCTGTCTCCTCCCCAGCACTTGTGCTCTGGCTTCTAGACAGAAAGTGTGATGGGGTTTAACTGGCTGCAATGGATGAAATCTGTCAGCATTGGTCAAAGGGAGTTCTGGTGATAGATTGGCTGACAGGCTGGTTCCTCATTTGGAACTTTCTTGACTGGCTGCTCTCTGACACTGCCACTCTGGGTTTCTGGCTTCTGAGGGAGCATGTCAGAGAATGTGAAACCAAGTGTTCTTTCATCTTCTAAAGGCTCAGCCCTCCAGAATGAGTATTCTAGCAGGACGAGAGTATGAGGAGCAAAGCTTCTGTCTTGGGGTTATCAGCTTTCTTGGGTATCTAAATTTGGGGTGTCAGCCCAGACACTTCCTAGGTCAGCTACCATTTTACTTAGTGCCAAGTTGAGGAGATGCTTTGGAAATATTCCAGTTCCCACTGCCCAGAAGTTCTGTGTTTGTCCCATTTGGGGGCGAGCTGTAACTTCAGACTCCAGAAGCCAAGGATCAAAGGCTGAAAGATGGTGGTAGTGGTGATGGTGGTGGTGCCAGGGGCCCCAGCTCTCCGTGGACTCTATCTCGGTCCCTGGAGAGGTGAACAAGTTGTCTTCCCTTCCAGCTCACTGGCTCATGACTTTTTTTTTAAATGAAGTTATTTTACTTTCAAGCATCCAGGGAAAAGAGGCTTCTGCAGACATAGGGGATTGTTGCATAATGCTTCCCCTTGGCACGCACTGATGTCCCATTCTGTCTGCATGCACCATGGAGCTGCAGATGGGCAGGGAGCAGGGAGAGAAAAGTGGGAGTACAAGTTTGTCGGAATCTCATGTGGCTAGGCTGTAGCTGCAGGCACCGCTGCTGATCAGGACTTCCATTTCCCTTCTGGACACACCAAAGTCTTCTTCCTTGCCCCAGACCAATCCTGGGCACCTGGTCTAGGCTGTTGGATGCTCACCAGTCCCAGTTTCTGTTTTGGATCCACCCGCACACCCTCAGTGCTCTCCAGAACCTCCCCGGCTAGTTGGTACTTCACGTACAGCTTAGACATTGGTGCTGAGAGTAGAGAGGGCATGAGACGGGTCACAGGGATGTTCTCCTGGCCTGTTTGTCCGGCCACTCCGCCTCGGGTTCTGACATCCCCTTCCCTCCCGGCAGACCCTGGACGGGCACATGGTGGTACGCAGCCACGCCCGCGTGTCGTCGCTCACCCTGAAGAGCATCCAGTACACGGACGCCGGCGAATACATCTGCACAGCCAGCAACACCATTGGCCAGGACTCGCAGGCCATGTACCTCGAAGTGCAGTGTGAGCGGCAGTGATGGGGAAAGATGCAGGGCTGGGGTGGGGAGAGGATGATACCAGTCTGTCCTCAGGGAACTCAGTGTCCGTTCCCTGTGGCCCCTCATCCCGGGCTCTGTGGGAACTGTGTGCCATGCCCCTCCTCAGCCACCCCAGGCCTGTCCTTCAGTCTGCCGGTGCCTTCAGCTCCGAGCCTGCAAAGCATCCAACCTCCCTCTAGCCGGTCTACACTGCTCTGTACCCTCTGCCATCCCTCTGGTCTTCGCTTGGCTCCCCGCTTCCGTGGAGGGAGACGCACTCATGCTACTCTTCCTGAATTCTTGTTCCTTGCAGACGCCCCCAAGCTGCAGGGACCCGTGGCCGTGTATACGTGGGAAGGAAACCAGGTGAACATCACCTGTGAAGTCTTCGCCTACCCCAGTGCCACCATCTCTTGGTTCCGCGATGGTCAGCTCCTGCCAAGTTCCAACTACAGCAATATCAAGATCTATAGCACCCCTGCGGCCAGCTACCTGGAGGTGAGCTGGGTGGGCCGGTGTGGACAGGGTGTGGTTGGACCCTTCCATGGGCCGAAGGCCTCTTTGGGGCATGCTGATCAGGGGTGCCATGGACCACTGTTCTTCGCTCCCACCCCCACCCTTTGGGGCCAGCCAGGCCTGGAGGCTGGGTCCTCCCGCTCCTGCCCTTTACTTCTCTCTGGTTTAAGGCTGGTCAGAGTTCACCACAGTGCTTCTTTACTGGATGTCATTCTTGATTAATTTACCCAATAACTATCCTTCCGTACCATATCCCATAGAACAGCTAATCCAGGAGCCTCTTTCTTCCAAAGGTCACCCCAGACTCTGAGAATGACTTCGGGAACTATAACTGTACTGCTGTGAACCGCATCGGACAGGAGTCATTGGAGTTCATCCTGGTCCAGGCCGGTGAGCGCCTCTGAGGGCTGGCCACACTGCCTCGCCCCTGCTTTCCTGCAGGAGGGAGGGAGGGCCAGTACATGGGGGCCAGGAGGCAGAGGAGTCTGGGCAGGGGCGTGTTGGAAGGGAATCATACTTCTAGGACAGGAAACAGGTGACCAGACTCTCCTTTGTGAGTAAAGGGGAGAGCTGAGCTTTGAAGGAAGGGAAGGAAAGGCCCCGGGTCCCACCAGACTCATGTGGCTCCCTCTGTGTCCTCCCGACAGACACCCCCTCTTCGCCCTCCATCGACCAGGTGGAGCCTTACTCAAGTACAGCGCAAGTGCAGTTTGATGAACCGGAAGCCACAGGCGGGGTGCCCATCCTCAAGTACAAGGCCGAGTGGAGAGCTGTGGGCGAGGAAGTGTGGCATTTCAAGTGGTATGATGCCAAGGAAGGTGAGACAGGAAGAGGCCTCATTTCCTTGAGGATCCTGGGCTCCTTGATGTTGGGTCATCTGCTCAGCCCCAGCATTCACTGGCCTGGACCCCGCCCCGACTGCCCATTTGGAAGGGGATGTTCACGCTCACTGTCCTTTCTAGAATTAGGGTATAGCCACATCTCGTGTAGAATTGAGGGCCTCTGAGCCCAAGGTTGCAGAACCAGGTTCACATGACCCTACTGGCCAGATGTAGGCATGTGGACGTTAGGGCCTCGTCCCTGGCATATTCATACCTATGGGTACCAGGGACAATGCTTAGTCCCTGCCCTGTATATAGGTGAAGTGCTCTGCGGCCTCTTTCCCCGCCAGCCTGGTACTGCTTGGAAAGCTAGGGAACTACCACACAATTGTGTAGGGCCAAGGCAAGGCTGCCCTAAAGGTAACCTATGATATGTCTCCCAACTAAAGATTTGAAAAGGATTCTGAGGGTAGCATAGGGGTTAAGGCATTTGCCTTCCTGGAATCTGGTTCGATCCCCAGCATCTGAGCACTATCAGCAGTGATTCCTGAACAGAGTCCTCCCTGAGCACCACTGGGGGTGGCCCTCCTCTCCCCCCTCCCCACCTCTGCTAATGGCTCAAGGACCAGAGAGTAGCTCAAAGGGGTAAGTGCATGTTTTGCATGCAGGAAGCCCAGGTTTTGTCCTTAGTATCACTTGGTACCCCAAACACCTCTACCTCTGAGCACAGAGCTGGGAGTGACTCCGCTGCCAGGTGTGACCCAAACAACCACCAAAGTAACAATTAAAAGGAAAATATCTCTCCTGTGACAACAATTTGAAGATTCTGAACCCATACCTTGTTGCCTGGAGGATGGAGTATAAATATTGTCCAGTTCTCTCTTTGGGTCTAACTGGAATAACTCAGAGAAATATGTTTTGTTTCCATAGAAATTTTTCATGCATGGCTGAAAAGTGGAAACAAGGGTTGAGTTGAAAGCGGGTTAAAGGCGCAGTGATAAAGCCAGAGACAGTGAGAATTAGGCCACAAAGTGTTCTTCATCTGCAAACTTTGGGATGGGGGGCTGGATTTCTGAGTAGCTTGGATTGTGCTAGAAAAAAATACCTTTTACCTTCCTTAGTTTCCCTCAGAATCCTCATAGCAACCTGTGGCTGTTTGGTCCTTTATTATTATCTGTCCAACAGAATACCCCCCCCCACTTCCTTCTACTTACTTTTACTATGGTGAAAATCCACATAATACAAAGTTGACCATTCTCACCGTTTCAAGTGGACAGTTAAGGGGCAGTGCCCATTAGCCAGTAGCTAACTCCCCTCCCTCCTCCATCACCATGCTACTTCCACTCTCCTTCCAGTTGATCCTCTGTGTTCCGTATAAGTGGAATAAGAGTGTTTGTCCTTTTGGGTCTGGTATTCCAAATAGCACAGTGTCCTCGAGGTTTGCCGTGTTGCAGTTTGCACCAGAATTCCATGCCTTACCAAAACCAAGGATTCCATGGCACACGTTGGAGACATTTTGTCCATTCAACTCTAGGTGGACACATAACTGTGTCCGCCTTCAGCACCTGTGGATTGTCAGTGCCTCTGTGAACACAGCTGTGTGGCTGTGTTGTTCTCCGTTCCTGTCCCAGCTGTCAGTCCTCTGTGTAGCTTCCCACGGTGGAAATCCTGAATGACCTGGCAATTCTATGTTTGCTCTTTTGAGGCCCTGCTGTGCTGTTTTCCCCAGAGGCCGCATCCTCAAAGCAGGCTTTGCATCCTTGATGACCGTTTTCCCCTGTTCTCTCTACAGCCAACATGGAGGGCATCGTCACCATCGTGGGCCTAAGGCCTGAGACAACCTATGCCGTGCGGCTGGCGGCTCTCAATGGCAAGGGCCTGGGTGAGCTCAGTGCCGCCTCTGAGTTCAAGACACAGCCAGTCCGTAAGTAGCTCTTCTGCCCTGCCCGATCCCACTCCCCACTTCTCCTCCTGGAGGTACAGGGATCCCTGAGCTCCGGCTCCAAGATTCAGAGGTCAGCATGTTGTTGGCTATCAGATCCCTCTGCTCAAGGAGGTCCCCTTCCTAATTCTCTGGCCTTCGGTCACTCAACCCCTTTCTCTCATCCCTAAGGGCGCAGTGACACCATCACTGTGACTAGACCCAACTTGTTAGAATAAGGGCCACCACCAGTCAGAGGGTTGCAGGGAAGGAAGCGCGGGGAGTGGTGGGGGGTAACAAGGGGGTTGGTTGCTATGGCAACAGAACACAGGTCACTAAGACCCTAAACTCTTGATAGGAAAGACACTGGCAATTGCGCTAATTAGTCATGGGGGTTTTTGATGCAGCAGAGACATGAGGTCATAGAAGAATCAGATACCGGTGTGGGAGCTACATGCAGAGCAAAATCCCACCAAAGGAAGAGATGAGCATGGCCTCGGCCGTTCCTGCTCCTCATTCCCTTCCTGCGAGTATACCTTCCCTCCAGGCCAGATTCCATCCAGGGCTGCCTCCCGGTGTCCTCCCTCCTTAGGCTGTCCTTAACTAAGACTCGCTGTGCTCCCCACAAATAGCCAGACCTGGGGACAGCCCTGCTCCCTTGAGCAGAACAGAGAGCCAGGCCGGAGGGTGGAGACGGTCCCTACAGTTGAAGATGCCGTGGGGTCGCCCACCCTGGGTGACCCCGAAACTCCCCACCCGGCCCTCTCCGGTGCCTGGAATGGAAAAGTGTGCAGGTATATCCTCTGCTTCCTTCTCTCGGAAGCCAGCGCTTAGCAAGGCTCTGAGCCCCTCATGTCTTCCCAGAGCCAGGAAGCCAGAATTCCTTCCACAGAAATCACTTCTTGGTGAACCGGAAGTGATGTGGTCATTTAAGTTTCCAACTCCATGTGCTCTGCAGATCCTATTCATTTCTTTTACACCTTATTTTTTTTTCTCTTGGGTCTGCCTCTTGTCTTTCCTTTTCGTCTGTGTTCCATCCATGGGAAATGCAGATAGCCCTCTTCCACGTAAGTGCCTCTTCATACCTGATTACCCGTTTCCATAGCCTTAACATGTGCTAGTCCCAGCCCTTAATTTAGTTCCAGCCCCTTTCTCTGCCCCCTAGAGGCTGAAGTAGATGATACTGTCTGGGCCCTAACCCCACTGACCTTAGTCTAGTTGTGCCCTCCTTAACATCCTTAGGTTACTCTGAGAGGCTAACATTTGTCCTGTGTAGAGCATGCAACTCTTGTGTTCTTTTGAAGTTGTGTGTATTAATTCCCATATTTGATGGTCACCCTGTGGCGGCCACAAGGTTGGCCATGCCCAGCATGGGGGGAGTTCACCGAGGGTCTCTGAGTAACAGACCAGAGCACTAGGAAGCCAGGGAAATCACCTCCAGCCCAGGATGCCTCTATTCAAATCCCTGGGGTGGAGGGGAGATTCCTTGCTGGACTTTCACACTGGCTTTGAGATGAAAGATTTGCGCTTTCTCCTCCCTTCCTTTTCTGAATATCAGATGGCCGGAGCGCAGTAGGGAAACTGGTTAGGGAGGCCCAGGCCTCAGCAGAATGGTGACAAATTGCAGGAGCCCCAGTTCCCAGTCAGGGGTACATCCTGCAGCAGTTTCCGGAAACATAACGCCCCGGGCTGATTTGACTCTGCACTAAGTTCCTGACAAAGTGTGTGTCTGTGTTTGAGCCAGACCTACTAGTTACTTAGTGACTCCACTGCGAAGCATGAGGAGGAGTGATTGTCCCTAGAAAGATGCCCTATTTGTGACCCTGTTGACACAGGAGGATTTAGGGACAAGGTTAGCAGGAAGCTGGCCTGCTGCCTCGGGAGCAGACTCCGAGGACCTCAGTGTGCACGACGCCCCAAAGCTTCACTTCCGCCTGAGGCTTGCCTCTTTCTTCTGGGGCTGAACACAGAATAGTGGAGGGAGTGTGGTTACTCAGAGACCGGCAAGAAAAGGAATTCAGAAAAGCCACCAACCCTTTTCGTAAAAAGCGCCTCGCTCCTGAAAGGCACTCAGGAAAGCTTTGCTTTTTAAAATGTATTCAGAAATATTGCAGTCACAGCAAAAACTAAGTAGCTCCGTGTAGGCGTTGGAGGACTTTGAGCAAATGTGAAATCCACTGTCTCAGCAGAGTTGGCTCCTGAATGAACCAGTTCTAGGGGGAGTCGGGACTAGGGGGTGTGATGGAGGGAACGATAGAGAGTTGGGAGGTCATGCTGATTGCTGCCTGCTCCGGGCACCAGTGTAACTCTGCCCGAATTCAGAGCACCTTCGTCCTGGACCCTTAAAAAACTTCGCCAACTTCTGCCTTTCACCTAGCAGTGAACACTGGTTTAGTTACACTACAGAGAGAAAAGCGGGGAGGACATTTCCTTCTGAGTTTCTACCACTAACGGCTCTTGGAGGCTGCAGTGGGGTTCATTCATTGCCAGCTCAGCTTTTTGTAAAGGTGAGACTTTTTATTGCAGATTCCATGTTTTAAAATTCAGTGTTTAATTAAAAAAAAATGACTCGGAGGCCTGGCTGCTTGCTGTCTGCTAGTATGGAAAGGAATTATTAACCAAGATTCCAGGAAGCACCTTGGAAACTGGTGGGATCCACTCTGCATTCCACTGGATCATGAATGATACCATCATCGGCATTGCTCGTGGCAGGAAATATTGGTTTTCTCAGTCACCTAATAAGGTTATGATGTGAAGGGTAAATAAACAAGGTGCTTAAGGATAAGGAGAATGTGGTCCAGACTTAGAACTCAGTGTTACCTTTTTGAGAACCGAATGGGAAGAGGAAGCACACTGGGGCATCCATGGAGAACATCAGATGTTCACTGTAAATCAGTTACTGTTGTCTCTCTTCCTAATCTTCCTGGAGCCACTGTCATGATGGTTGAGCCCAAGGTATCCTTCCACCTATCCTGAAAAAAAAAGGATACAGATAGAAGGAAGAGGCCAGCATTAACCACTCCTGAGGCAAAACATCCTTCTACTCGTAGAGAGGGAGCACAGGTTTTAGGAAGGACCTTCTCTGAGTTGTCTGACAGCTCCTTGGAAAGCATAAAGATGGTTTGAACTTAGGTCTGCAGAATCCTCTTGCTTATTCCAAACCGAGAGTGTTGGTTGTCAATGCTGGTTCATCTCTACCACAGACAGTGGCATGGGAGACTTTAACAAATGCCTTTCCCACTGGCTCATCAATTGAATTTATTGAGATGCCTAAGCAGCTCACTTCCGTTATAGAGATATGTCCACATGCAGGGCCATAGATATATCAAAGCAAGTGAACACAGCAAAAGTCACAGGTTCCCAGAGACTTCTGCTTAGGGATTGCCAGATTAGAAAGTTCTGGAGGTTCTTTTGTGTGCAGATCAAACCTGGGCATAAAGGGAAGGGGAAAGCTATGCCTCCAAGCAAACAAACATCTCCAACTAGAGAAAGTGACTCTATTTCGTGTCTTTTTAGGTCAAAATGTCTGTATGCTGAAAAGACTCTCTTAGATAAGAACGTGATCTCCCTCTATTTGCCTAGAGAGGGCCGACTTGCCCATCAGAGTTGTTGAAATCCCAGAGAAATGACATGTCACTTTTGGATGAATCTTAAGTTCTGAAGCCACCCACACACCTTCAGAAACCCAGTGCCTGAATGCCGTTGTGTCTAGACAGTGAAGCGAACTAGGTGATTTCTTCCTGGGCCTCAACATTACCAACGAGCCTGGACTTTCTAAAAGGAGGATCTTGTAATCCTGTTTCCATATGTTGCCCTCCCTAGGTGTCACATGTATTGTGCTTAGAGTAGAAGCACATTCAACTGTCCCCTGTTGCCAGAATTGCATAGATGGTGATACAAACTGTTCCAGCCAAAACCTCAAAGGCAGTAGAGACAGTAGAGAGAAGTTTTGACCAAATGAAGCAAATGACCTAGTCCTCCACATTTGTCCAGAAAAGGCCTTTAGTCTCTCTTGCTAATTCCAGGGACTTTCCTATCCCCTGGTTTAATGTCATTGGAAAGGTAAAAAGAAGACCAAACTGAGGTCATGTTGAAAATAAGATGCAGTTTTTCCAAAATTTTGTCTAGTTCTCAAAGGGGACTTCTCTGTTGGTTTGGTTTGGTTGATTTTTTGAGGAATAAACTCCATCATAACTGCCAATAAAAAATAGCTAAGAGTCCAACCAGTACTCAAAATGCTTCAGACGCACCAATGCTGACCCTTCTCCATTTAGGAAGTTGATTATCGTTATGTCCCTTCAACATCCTGATCTGGGGGAGGGGAGTGATGGGAGAGAGCAAGAACAGCATTCACCCTTACATGCATCCATCTCTGAGCCTGTAGCAGCAGTCAGAGAACCATGTTCTTTGGGGCTTGAGAGGGTAGGAGTTGGGGGCTGACTCCATCCAGATGTCAGAGTACCTGGACCTTACCCAGCAGGACTATTCATGGCCTAGGACAGTCATTTCTGTTCGTTTGGACGTTGGAGTTACAGACCAAGAGATAGAGGTTTTGCTCTCAATACCGCCCTGAATCTCAACCTGTGCCTGGCCAGAGAGAAGCTAAGAAGCTCCATCTCCATGCCCTGTTTGTCCTAAGTTGAGGTCCAGGCTCCTGCTCCTCCTGTATGCTCAGGAGCCAACTGGTCCCACTGAATTGGTGATTTGTTTCCAGGTGGGGAGGGAGGTGTCTGCAGCTGCTCCTGGCCTAACCCTTAGCGGAACTGCAGAGGTGGGCAGTCGCCACAGGTTCCAGTGTGAAGTCAGACCTGAGCCAGCCACGCTCTGGGTGTCCACTGCCTCCTGTTCCCCTGCACGGACGTCTCCTGTTCTAACCTGTTTCAGCTTCTCCTGGCCTGGGAAGTGGCTTCCATTTCTCCGTTCTTCATGCCTGTGCCTCCCAGAACTTCCTTCCCCATTTCACCTGCCTTTTTCTTTCCTCAGCAGTTCCTGCTAGCTCTCGCACCCCTGTTCCATTGTCTCCTTCAGCTAGTGAGTATCGCGTTTCCTTCCTCCTCCGCCCTCCTTGGGCCTCTCCCCAGCCTCGGGACCTGCCTAAAGCCATCTCCTTCCACAGGTGCCAAGTCAGCTCTATTGGCGCAAAGAAGCCCTGGGTTTTAGAGAAGAGAAATGAGTCCAGGGCCTCTCAGATTCCTGGGAGGGAGCCGGCACTGGCCCAGAGGGAGCAACAACATTCCCCTGGACGCAGCTTCTGGAGGCCTCTGTAGCCCAAACTGTGCTTGGGGTAGCCTTAAGCCACTGCACCAGAGTGGCATTTGGAGATGACAAAAGAATCTGCCAAGAAAAAAAGATCTAGGTTACTACAACCTAAAAAACACCTACAGGTCTTAGGGCCAGAATGACAGTACAGTGAGTAGGATATTTGCCTTGCACACAACCAGCCTGGGTTTGATCCCCAGCATCCCCAAGCACCGCCAGGAGTAATTCCTGAGTGCAGAGCCAGGAGAAACTCCTGAGCATCGCTGGGTGTGACCCCCTCCCAATATTAAAAAAAAAAAAAAAAGCTAAAGAATGCCTACAGATCTTGCATTTTGCCCCAGTGTTCTAATTGGTGCCATGCATGGGACTCTGGCCTATAGCTTTAGCTTACTCCATAAATGCATATTTCCTAAAATATTTGTGGGGAAAATACGGGGTCTCCCTGGCAGGAGGAGCTTAGGCAAACGATTTAACCTTTTACAAGTGGCTTTGTTTGTCCCAATAAGTTGCCCTTCTTCTAATGCCCTGTCCACAAGTGGAACATCAGGCGTCATTAGTGCGGGTATCATGTTCTTTTTGTACACTGTTGGCAGCGGCCACTAATTCTGTGCCATTCTGGTTGAGCCTCACTCAGTTGTCATCTGATCACATGAGGTTGCCCCTTCCGGTTTCCCTGCATCCTGGCAAGAATAAGCCCCAGGCCTGCCACTGGTTGGGGTTTCGAAACCAGCTTCCAGAAGGCAGATGCAGAGGGGGGAATGGAAGGGGAAGGGGGCCAACAAGTGTGACAACTACTGAATGTACACTT